GCACGTAATCGCTGCTCGTCAACCGCGGAACGGTTGTCGTTGGTTAGTGAGGGGGGTGGGGGCGGCGGGAGAAGTGGAAGAAGTGGAAGAGGCTCGACTGGCCGCGAACGGATCTGTCAGGCGCGATGCGTTTACCGCACGGCGTTGTTTATCTCGACGTCTAGTAGATGTTTTTGAAATTCAAATTTCGCGCCGCCGCCTCGACCAATCAGCGGTATTGATACTGTCAGCGGCGTAATTTATCGGTTCAGGCTGGGAGCTTAGAATTTCGAATCAGGTATTGGAAGTAATTCAATTATGGAACGGTTGTAGGATTTATGGTTAGGCGTGGATGTTCGAGTCTGCTGTTTAGCGATTGCGTTCGAAAAGGCATCGCGCCGGCATTGAACGTGACCTGTTTCGACCGAGAGAGTTATTCTCGGCCGATATATCGGTCGCAGCCGCGCGTTCCTTCGGACCCGTGTATACGTTCCCTGTTTCGCAACCTGCCCCTTTCTCGACGCGCGTTCACGCGTCTAAATTCGAATCATCGATCAACCCTCCGCGCGTGTCGGCTCGGAGCGGTGGCGTAGTAGGCTCGCTGGCGATACGTTGCCCGTATTCCGGGGTCGAGGAAAAACGGTTTTCTCTCTTTTGTTCTCGAATTCCGAGCGACTTTCTCCGGACTTGGGGCACGTTTACAGCGGAGCTGTGATAGAGGCTGATTGTGGGAGAGCGGTACGTCGATCGGAGCGACGATATAATGTTCTTTGAACGATGTTGACGATGAGGAATTATCGTTATCTTGACGATACACTGAGCAATATCGTGAAATGACGCTGACGTGAAATAACGTAAACGATGTATACCGTATTTCTATTGTCGGTTACCAAAGACAGCTCTGCGCGTCGCTCGTATTGTGAAGCTGCGTGCCCACTAGCAAGTACCTTGCGACACTTTTCGCTGGTGCGACCTGCAGAGGCGTGTATTTATATTTCTCCGCAATATTGATGCAACTCGCTCTCTGCAATAGGTGTCGTGAGACTGGTCTTTGAACTTGCTCAATAAATGTCAGGGGTGTTAGAGTCGAAGCAGCTGTTTGCACGTTGAGTTTCAATCAAAATGTCGGCTCAGCAAGTTGGATGTGCTGCTGCTGGTACGTGGATTGCGATTATTTTAAACGAGGAAAGGAGGAACAGAAAAGTTCGCGTCGGGAACTGGATATTCTGAAGCTGATGCTTGTGAATTCTGTCTGAATTAAGAATCGAGTGTCTTTATTCAGCCATTAACCATACCGGCACTTTTCCTACCGTAACTAATCAAATAACCGGCTACAAAATAGAGATAAACGAATTGGATGATAAATCTTTCTCAGTGGAAACAGAAATTAAAGGATGAATGAGAATTGAAAAACCAATTAATCGGATAATGTGGGAATTGATGTAATACAGTAAAACTATAAAATTAGATATTTAATGTTATGCTTTGTATAATGCATCAATTTGAGAAATATTGAAATAAAATAGCTTTATTCCTCAATGTACGTGTGATTTCTCTTCAAGTTAGTTTCACAAAATATCGTCTTCACCTCATCAGAAAATGTAAAAATACTTCTAGTGAAAAACTTCCGAGTGCAAAGGGTTAAATCTGGCCATTTGATTATTAATATATTCTACAGCATCAGTCTGTAATTAAATATCCTGTAACATAAGTCCATCTGATTCTGAATTTCTTTTGAAACTTGTAGGTACTAACACAGTGAAAGAAGGTACAAAAATTCGTCCTGTCATTTTAACTATCAACGAACTCTTGCCAGTTAACATTAGAACCACCGAGCATTTAACATGACTCATATGCAGTCTGTATAAAAATTGTAACAATAGGTTATTTTCAGTTCCTTCAAGTATATTCATTACAGTATTCAAGTGAATCTATTTATATTTAAAATCAATTCGAATACTTAATACTTTTAAGGTATCATCAACTGCGAAATAAGAAAACTGGAACCAGTCATTTTGACTGATACGGTAGTTCTAGTGTTAAGTACATTTACGTCTCTGGCAAGAATGCTAGTAAAATCGCACAGAAGCCAAAGGAGTTTGCTTTGTAGCAGCATTGATAAATAATACATCAGTATTGAAAATAAGATGAGAACAGAGGAAAATTGACCAATCAGGTTCGCTTTACTAGCACTTTCGTCAGAGCTACAAAATACTAATGACGCAGTTCGAAGCTGGAGGTTTCTGGTCAAAACAAATGATTCAACTGTATACACGACGAATTGCGTTGCTATTTGAGATTGAGTGTAGGAAATTGATTGAACTTGTCACCCGCTATTTAGCTACAAATATACTCGCAAGAAACTCGCGACATTTTTTTCTGATAGTAATTCTCATGACGTGTGTAAATGCATTTGAAATTGCTGACATCAAGTCAAAGTCACTAGAGATAGCAATCTCGATAAGTTGCTATTAGAACAAATATGTCGCAAATTTATATATTTAAATTAGAATTCTGTGAGGACTCGTATACGTTGGGAACCTGAAAGAGTCGGATTTAAGTAAAAGTAAAGCGCAACTCTGCGGAATTCTCGCTACACTACCGATTTTAATAGAATTTGGAAACTAAACGTTTGCATAATTTTTGTCAGCAGAAAAAGTCGTTCAAACTGTGCATTTCTACATTTGTCAATTTTACGAAAATTGGAGATGCAGTGAGAATTGTACAGTATTACCATTATTTGTACTCTATAGTTTGTTCTTTAGAATTTCAAAAAATTCAGGAATCTGTCCAGAACTCGGAAAAAATACCCGATCCGACCCGAATTCGGAAAAAATACCCGACTTGAACCTGAAAAGAAGTACCTGACTCGAACCTGAAAAAGTACCCGATCCGTATCTAAAAGAAGTACTCGATCCAATCCTGAAAATGTACTCGACTTGAACCAGAAAATAATACCCGATTCAAACCTGATAAAGGTATCCGACTCGAACTAGAAAAAAGTACCCAATACGCAATTGAAGAAAAAACACCCAATCCAACCTGATATTTTCGGATTTACCGATACTTCTAGCTTTCATACGTCACAAGAGTCGCTGTCACAAAAACTGTTGCAAGTTATGTGCTAGTGAACTCATCCTCTGATGGAGTGCTATCGCAGCGCCGCTGTAAACATACTCCTTTACGCCTGTCATATCGGTCCGACATTTCCTCGAGGATTCCAAGCGATACGGTGGTCTAATGCGTCGCGACGTTTGGCGAAGCTTTTTCAGTTATGGTTGAACGATAAACATGATGCTCAATCGAAATTGTGATCACCAATGCACAATGGAAATTCGTAACCTATATTAACCCTTTGTGGTTCGAGGTATTTTCAATTTTTCATTTTGGAGATGAAATGAAAATTCGCATTGAAATCTTTTATCTTGAATGTAGTACGCATTCACATCGGGATATCTTTTTTTATGTTTCATTATAGATGATAATAACAATAAAGCAATGTTTGCAAGATTGACGTTGAAATGGATTCTTTTGTTACATATTTAGTTTTCTGACTTTAGGTGCTAATTGTGGTTGAATATTAATTAATAATTTAATAAATATATTTATTATTAATGTGAATTTGTTTTAATGTTATAAATTAGCTGTGTACTTATTTAAAAGTATCTGATAAACACTAAAATTACCTACATAAGATATTACGATGTTGTGAATAACTGTAATAAAACTCAGTAAATTACGAAGAAATTGGAACGAAATTGAATGCCAAGTACCTCGCTATACGATCGTCAAG